AGAAGGTTGGGTTATAGAATAATTTGTTCTCTTTTCCGAACAGCATGGGAAGGGAGCATCTACTGTTATTTTGTAAGCAATTTCTGGAATCTTGAAGCTGTTGAATGTGTCTGTTTCTTTTATTTGTTAAAATATATCTTCAACAATTATGGGAGAGAGAATGTGTGTTCTTGTTCTAAATTTTTATCAAGTGCAAACTATTCCTTTGTAATTACTTTTAATATAGATTGTCTGAGAAAGGGAGGACTTGTTACACCCTGAAGGAGTTTTTATCTTCAAGGCTGTTCCTACTTGATATTTTATTCATTCTGGCTTTTTTTTTTCCTCCTCACAATGGTACCTTCAGTAGATTTCTTATCTTTAGTACACATGTGCACCTCCTTTTACATTTTTCCTCTACTTTTTATCTTTTCTCTTTCTGATCAGTACTTTCATTTTCCTTTTAAAAAAACGTATTCTGTAAAGATAGAAACAGCAGGAAATGCAAAGGACAAAAAGACAAAGACATAGAAACAGATTTCCACTTTAAAACATTGGGAATTTCAGTTTGTTTTTGCATGTGTTTCTTATTTACAAGTGTGAAAGAACTTGATTCAGGCCCTGTTTGCCTGGGACTTCCTTAGTTTGGGATAGAAAGTCTTGAGTGGCGTGAAGCCCGTCAGTTCCAGGTAACCCAGGGACAAGTTGATCATCCTAGACTAGGAGTAGGAAACCTTTTTCTTCTTCTTCTTCCCAATGCCAGTTGGGTATTTATAACATTTTTGGGGGGCCATACAAATTATCACCTTAAAAATTATCCTGTATGAATCTTTTGAATTTAAAGTCCCGCCTGTAGATGCTCTGGTAGGCTCCGACCCAGTGATTTTGCAGGCCTGCTTATAGAGGCCATGGATCAGTCCCTGCCTTAGAGCAGCAGAAGTGCTGAATAACTGTATATACAACCTGCCACTTGTCCTTTGAGGAGTTTGTGGTTTTCAGGGTCATGTGAAAGCAACTTACATAACAAAACAGAATAAGAATATTAAAAAGTATGTTGGTTTCCTAGATCACCGAATCCGAACAGTTAGGCAGATGACAACTATAGGGCATCAGAAAAGAGGGGACAGAAAATTAGAGTCCTAGGGTAATGCATCTAATTCTGCTATTCTCCAATTTGCTTATATTGAGCAAAGCATGCCCAAGTATAGGTCACCATGTTGCTTTTGTACATTTATTCAAGATATAATAGCTTTCACTTGAAAAAATGAGGTATAGATGCTTCTTGCAGAATATATTGAACCAATCCCACTGGTCTTTCAGTAGTTTGCAAATTTAATATGTTCATATGAACAAACTGGTTTACTTGTATTACTCCATTCACATTTTAGATACTCTCACTGCATGATCAGGATGTGAAGTGGTAGAAATGGAAGCTTCCTGCATTACCACCTGAGAGAGAGAAATTAGAAGGCAGGAAAACCATGATGTTAGGGTGTGCCACATCAGCAAGTCTGTCCGGAAAGTCTGATTGACATTGTTAATTGGTCCTATGAATGCTCACTTCCTTAAGGTTTCGTCTCTGTAGCACTCCTTCCCCCACTGTGCTCAATCCCTTCATCTTATACGTGTGCTTCCAACATTAGAAGTTTTGAATATGTATGATCCAGACCTGCTTCTAGTAACCTTAGACATCAGCGATCTGCCCCACCTGTAGGCAACTCCCTAGGTTGCCTTGTACCTAGACGAGTGTTACACTGCTGGTAGAAAAGCAGCCAATAGTTGATGGGCATTCTGGGCCTGCATTAATGTGTTAACTATACTCAATACAAGTGTACCAGCATAGTTGGCTTTTGTTTGTTTATTGGTTTAAGATAGTGAGAGGGGCTGGCAGCCCTGCTGGAAGATGACCCCAGGACCCAGGGCCTATGCTGGCAGCAGGGTTGTGAATTACCTAGGGAAGAGGGTTTGGGGATGTGTGGGAATGGGGTCTGCCAAGGGAGTACTTTACAGATGCAGAATGATTTCTAGGGGCTCCCATGGACCAGGCTACTATACTCGCAGGTAAATGCAGGAGTTGATACCAGATGATTTAGAAAGGGGAAGCCAGAGGGCATGTCTGAATCAGACCAATGCACTTGCCTATGTGAAAGGCTGGGGCAGGGCTAGGTGGCATTGCCCTCCATCTGCTAGCATTAGAGGGCCTGCCTGCCGGGATTAGACCACCATACCCGCCAGTAAAGGCAAGGCAAGGGATGGGCTGTGATTGAGGGCAGACTATGCTGGGCAGGGTCCTAGCACCTACCAGCACACATGAGATGGGGCATGGGAGTGGGGCTGGGATTGGGCCAGTCTAGGCAGGGCTATACCACTCTTCAGCATGTGTGTGGGCTGGCTCGGGCAGGGGGGAGTGTAGGCTGGGATGGGTTGGCCTGGGCTGGGCCAGGCCAAACCCTACCAATCATTGGCACGTACAGGAGATAGGATGGGGTATGGGCTGCCCTAGTTAGGCTGTTTCATCCGTGGATTCACATGAGAGCCAAAGATGGGAGCAGGCTAGGCAAGGCTAGGCCATAGCACCCACTGGCAAGAGTTGGGACTGGGGGCAGGTTGGGCCAGGCCAGGCTGCAGCATCCTCTGGCAGGTGCTAAGACTTTGGGCAGGCCAAGCCAAGTCAGTTAGAGCACATAGGTAAATGTGCAAGACCTGGGCTGTGAGCAGGACTAGTAGGGGAACTAAGGAGGCTCCCCTACTATGTTGCAGTCCCCACAGGGGATTACAAGAGCCAGGGCTTTGGTGGATCAAGCTGAATATTGCTGCAGTACCCATTGGCGTGTATGTGGGATGGGTGTAGAAGTGGGCCTGACTGGACTAGGGCCTAGCACCTGCTGGTGGTGCTTATAAGAGCCAGAGTGGTGTGGAATAGGCTAGAATATGTTGTGGAACCTGCTGGTCCACAAGAAAGCTGGATTTTAGGGTGGGCCAGATCGGACTGGGCTGTAACATTTGTGAGTAAGTGTGAGAATAGGCATGGCTTGTCAGGCAGGACCATGGTACCAGCCAGTAAGTGCCAGGACTGGGGAAGTACCATATCAAGCTGGGCTGAGCACCCACCAGTGTGCATAAGAACTGTCTGGAAGCTGGTCTGATAGGGAAACTTAGGGAACTGCTCTGTTAGGCTGCAGTTCCTAATGGACAGCTCAGGCCATGCCAGGCTGCAGTACCTGTTGGCATACATGTGGGCCAAGTCTTGGGGTGAGCCATACTGGGCCAGTCTGCAGCACCTGCTGACAGGTGTGAGAGCCAGGATAGGGTGCAGGCCAGCCTGAGTTGGCTTACAACACCCACCAGTTCACATGAGGGCTAGGACTGGGGGCTAACTGAGCAGAGCCAAGCTGCTGTACCCACCAGTGAATGCTGTGGCAAGGTGAGGTGGGCTGCAGCACCCACTGACACACACAAGACCCAAGGTTGGGGGTGAGCTTGATAGGCGAACTTCAGGGACTTCCCTACTAAGCTGCTGCCCCCACTGTGAGTGTGAGAGCTGAGACTAGGGGCAGATGAATCTGGGCAGGACTGCAACGCCTTTCAACCCATATGTGAGCTGGGTTTGGGGGAGAACCAGGCTAGCTGAGTTTACCTCATCCACTGACACATGCAAAAGCCAGAATAAGTGTGAGCCAGCTGGGCTTTTCTGCACAATCTACTGGCAAGTGCTAAGACTGGGTGCAAGTCATGCCAGGCTGGACTGTAGTACTCCCTGTCAAGCACAAGATCCAGGCTGAGAGTGGGTCTAGTAGGGGAACTGTGGGTATTCTTGTGCTAGGCTGCAGCTTGTGCTGGTGAACATGAGAGCCAGGGCTTAGGGCACGCGTGGATGGCCAATGCAACAGCACCTGTCAGCAGAAATGTGTGCTGGGTCTGGGGTTTGGTCAGGATGAGCTTAGCATCAGCACTCATGGGTGTATATGAGAGCCAGGTGGAATGTAGGAAGGGGCAAGATAGACTGCTGCACGTGTGCAGGAATTGGGGCTGGGGCGGGCCTAGTGGAAGTTATTGGTGGTCTCCCCAACTGGGCTGCAGTTCCTGTTGGTGTGTTACTGTAAGAGTTTGTGGCATATTGTTTTGGGATAGGCCACAGCACCCATCAGTTGGCATAGGAGATGGAGCTGGGGCCTTAACTGACAAGGCAACTTCATTTGTTGTTATGTTTGTAGGCTGATACAGTTGATAGACTGAACCCAACCTTGCATTAGCTTGTGCACATGAGAGTCAGGTCAGATCTGAGGTCACTGCAGGTGAGGCTTCTCGGGTGGTCTCCATCTAGATTGCTGGACTCAAATTCTGACCACAGGGAAAATCATAGTATATGTGGTCCAACCTTGGAGTGCATGTGTCAGGACTGGGCTTCCTCAGTTACTGATGTCTGTGTAGTGGACAGCATTCCCAGATGTACACAGGGGACATAACAGCCAGCTCATCTAGGCCAGCAGAATACATGGAGTGTCTTGTCAGAAGATAGAGAACAGAGAGGTTGGATAGCTCTCCTGGCCAAGCTTTGCAGCAGAGGCACTAAGGTGGAATTTGTCAACCAATAGGCCTTGGAAAGATTGTCTCAGCCCTGGAGCAATGAAGCCAACCATGTCTCTGAAATATCAAAACCACTCATGTAACACTCTTGGAACAATCTTCCCGGCGTGGGGAACCTCTGATATAACATCAGATGACCATCCAACATCCATAGGTGCTGATGTAATTTGGCAGCAAGAAGCAGGCCCCTCCTCTTCCCCCATCCCTGTAGATACAGGAGAAAAAGAAAACAATTAGAAGAATTTGTCCCACCCTCCTTCCTCCATACCTCAACCTTTCCCACCATAATCGGTGGCCTACATGGGCATACATCCTTCTCAATTATGTTAACACCATTGAAAACAAAATAATACAAAATAAGATAAAAGTCAGGGGTCTGATCCTAGGAAAGCATTGGATCTGTAAACATGTGTATGGATTTTGATTCTTTTAAGGTGGCTGCAAAATTCGGATCCAGGGCGACTGGACCAGAGAGCGACGCTTTGAAATTCCTGATGAGGAACACTGTCTGAAGTTTCTCTCAGAAGTCCTTGCTGCTCAGGAAGGTAACTCAAAACTCAGCAGTTTCCTTTCTACCATTTCAGTGCAAGTGAAATTCTGACATGCTGATACAGAGGCAAGTGGCTAAAACAGAGTTCCTCACCCTGTGCGCTAGATGGCTGATAAGGACGGGTTAGGGAACAAGTCCGTCCAGCTTCACAGACACTGATTCCGTTGGTTGGCTGGCGGAGTCTCCAGTGTCTTGGCAGGCATAGCTTCCCCGCTGAGTGTAATCTCCCTACTGCCCCCAGGTGACTTCAGCACTGCCCTCATTTCCTTAGTCTCTTCCATTATGGTCAAGAATGGTGATAACTTCTGCATGTGAGGAGTGTTGACTGAATGGATTTAGGTTATGATAAATTCCATTCAATGACAGGTTCTCTGGTTTCTGATCATAAAATCCTTACCTCTCCAGCTCAGTCACAACTTCTTGTTCCGGAGCAGAAAGACTCATCCAGCTGGTACCAGAAATTAGACACTAAGGACAGACCTTCTGCTTTTACAGGTACAGGAAAAAACTCTATTCCCCACTCCCTCCTATCACTGGCTGCTATGGTGATTGCAGAGTCAGTAGATTTTTATCAGGCCAGGTGAGATGATGTGTGGACTAAAGTCACTGTCACACAGATGCCCACTGACTAATGTTTACTCTTAATCCTTTCTGTATTACGGTAGCACTCAAGAGCCAGCTTAGCAAACTAATGGGGAAAAGAAACAGTATAGGTTTGAGGGCCAGATGACCTGAGTTTGAATCTCAGATCTGGGACTTGTTAGTTATATGACCTTGGGCAGTTTATTCAGTCACTTTGGATTTCCATTTCTTGTTCTATAACTTAAGGTTTTTTTTTAATAGCACCTATCTCATGGAGTTTTCTGTTGGTTAAGGGAGATAATAATCTAATATTTCATTGTCAATGAAGACTTTGTGTTGTCTTCAATAAATGTTACCTATTTTTATTCAGGTTCCACTTCAATGTAAACCTCTTGGGGTCTGATGAGTGGATCAGTGCTTCAGGGATGCCTGCTTAAAACCCCAGCCTGAGTGATTATTGCCCTTATGGTACCTTTCTGTTTAGTAATGCCACTGGTCAAATCATAAGCAGATCAAAGCACTGTCTACCCTGGATATGTTGAATGCTAGTTTTTCCTCCTTTAACTTTGGATTCTGTGTCTTTCAGGGTTTCTTGGATTTGAGGATAACTTTTCAACAATGAATTTGGACAAGAAAATAAATGCACAAAATCAACCTTTGGGGACTCATCGGGAACCCCCACCTCCACCCCCTCCTGGGAATAGAATGTAAGTCTTTTGTCGAAACATGTATCTCTGTAGGAGACTTATATTTCAGGCAATTTTACTTTTGAATTTCTCACTAATTTTTGAAGGCTACCACGTGAAAAAGACACTGCTAACAAAGAACAACCCAAAGTAACCAACACCATGAGGAAACTCTTTGTACCAAGTAACCAGTCCCGGGAGGGCATCATCAAACACATTCTGGCAAAGCGAGAAAAAGAATATGTCAACATTCAGAATTTCAGGTTTGTCTCTCTTCTATGTACTAATGCTTTCTGTAACATGGTAGCACTTCCGGAGTTAGCTTAGCAAAGTAATTAAAAAACAAAAGTATATTTAGTTAGTAGGGGGTGGGGATAGACATTTGGCCTTGTGGTTAAGGTATCCTCATCCCATATCAGAGTGTTGGGTTCAGTGCCAGCTCCTGACTTCAGGTTCCTGCTAACACTGGCCCTGAAGGGCAGCAGTGATGGCTCAAGTGATTGGGTTCCCAACTTTGGCCCTGGCCTAGTCTAAAGATGCTGCAGGCATTGGGAGAGTGGGCCAGTGGATGGGAGTGTTCTCTTGGTCTGTCTTGCTCAATTTCTCTGCCTCTGAAATAAACTTTTTAAGATTTCTAAATTATTTTAGAAGGGTTATTATAGTTCTTTTATTTATTCGAAATATAAATACAAAGAGAGCTCCCCTCCATAGTTTCACTCTTCAGATGCCCACAATGATTAGAACAGGTCCAGGTTGAAGTCAGGAGCCATGAATTCAATGCATATCTCCCATGTGGGTGGCAGAGACCCAACCACTTGAGACATTACTGCTACTTAACCAGAGTTCAGGTAGGCAGGATTGCTAGAATCTGGAGCCAGAGCTGGGAGACAGACTCTGGTGCTCTGATAAGCGATATGGATATCTTAACTGCTGGGTCAAATGCCTGCCCCCCAAATTGGCCTTTTGGTATTTAAATTATGGGCTTTGTTAAGAGTCAAAGCATGATAAAAGGGAATGGTCATCATATTCAAACCCCTATCTCTATGCTGGTCAGTAACATACATATACAAAATGATGCAGATACTGGAATTTCTCTTGGATTTTCTAACTACTACTAATACCATGTCTCCTAATATTTCTATCCACTCTTAGGGAACCAAATCAAGCTCACATATTCTAGAGAATTATCCCCTAGCACATTTCATAAGCAAGTGTGTCTATCTATCTGGCCTGCTGAATTTTTTTTCCAGCCAATATTGGAAAGTTAAAGCCCACCATTACCACTAGATCTTAACTTACTTACTTTGGTAAGTTAACTAAATGAAAGTTGCACCCCACCCCCTCTTGATCGAGAGGTCTATCTTGAAGTTTCTTCTGTATTATTTTTCATTTCATCTCTACTTGTCAATGCTGTCTTTTCTAGACCTGGTGTGTTGTGGTATACTCGGGGTGGGGGTGTGATGTGGCATGGCATGTATTCCCCAGTGTGCAAAGCAGCAACACTTTCCTTGTTACTTGTGTACAGGATGTACTCTTCTAGTCCGAGGTTACAGTCCTATCTTCTGTGCCATCATGCCTTGTGTGTTCTAATTTTGTCATAACTACATCTCAGTGCTGAGCCCTCTGGTTCCTCACACTCCTCATGGTGCTCAGATTTGTGTGAAAACAGTTAAGACAGTCATGAGTTCTCCCTTCTGCTTTCCTCCTCAATGCCTTATCTACCTCACCAGAATTTTTCTACGGAGATGTCCTTAGAATCCTCTGGAAAGTAAGTCTTTGGATTCAACTACAGCGTGGAATAGAATAACAATGTGTCTTAGACTAGCTTGCAGCATGAATACTCTTCTTTTTCACCCCTAAGTTCTGCCTTCAAGTAGGAATTTGGGTGAAGTATAATGGAAAGCAAACAGTGTAAAGCAATCTACTCTCTGACTTCTAAATAGAGTCTTGGTTCCTTTCTGTAGGTTCACTTTATGTAAAAATTGAAGAAAATAAGTCCACTGACTGTGTTCTAGATGCAAGAGGTTTTTCTAATGTGTGTGGCAAAACATTTTGAGGAATTGTGTTAGATGATGCAAACATGCCCTTGTATAGAGGTGACAAGAGAGAGCTTTTGTTTGTTCACACGTGATCTTTGTTTTCAAATTACTTTCTGGTGTTATACATTAGATTTTTTGTTGGAACTTGGAATGTGAATGGCCAGTCTCCAGATAGCGGGTTAGAGCCCTGGCTGACCTGTGATCCGAATCCTCCTGATATCTACTGCATTGGGTAAAGAACACTTCTGGAATTTCCTTTTGATTGTATGGTTGGTGTACATGACATTTTACCTTTTTTTTTTTTAACTGTTTGGTAAAAATGTGTGATAGGCCATATGTGTGGATTGACTGGTGGATCAAATTTGTGAATTCAGAAATAAACAGATACTGGAAATGGTATAAAGAAGCAACTAGTTTTCTCAAAACCCCTAGAAAATGAAATTCTGCATAGAAGCTGAGAGTTGTTGGTTCTAACAGTGAATGTTCCTTGGATATAAATGCAGAACTGTGCTTTTATTCCTTGTGAGAAATATTTTTGGTTTAGTTTTTGCACAGCCTATAGCTATTTACTGCTGGGGAGTCTTTAGAAAGAAAGCTACTTGTCCTTATTGATAACTGCAAACAGGACAGGAGGTAGCCACATCTAACTTTGGGATATGTACAGATCTCATATCCTTCCTTTCTCAGATTCCAAGAGCTGGACTTGAGCACAGAAGCCTTTTTCTACTTTGAATCTGTAAAGGAACAAGAGTGGTCCATTGCTGTGGAGAGGGGTTTGAATTCCAAAGCCAAGTATAAGAGAGTAAGCCACATTTATGTATCCTTTTAGTATATGACTGAACAGAACTCATTGGGAGTTTTTGCATAATCTAGACCTTGTTCCAAAAGAGTGGTTTAAATGAATCGTTGCCTCTGTGTAGTACTGGGATAGGGCAGACTAATCCATCATAATTATTTCCTAGGGAAAAAAATTCCCCTAAACTTTCTAATCTTTTATAATTCAGAGTAATTATATATATGCTAACTGATTTGTATGGTACATTGAAATTGTCCATTGACATGATCAGAATTGCAGGATTCAAGAAATGCAATATGAAGCATGTGGGTACATGGAATGTGCTTTGGAAGCAGAGCAGCAAGTGTTACAGTGTACACATGTATTGAAACATCACCTGCTACCCATGTGTACATGTGCATAGCTTTTATGTTTCAATTTTTTTAAACAAAAAGCATCAATGAAATTTAAAGAAGTTCTGAACTCAAGTGTAAGTAAAGAATAGTGTTGAATTTAATAAGCTAGGTCAATTTTTTGGCATTTAGAAAGCATTCTGTAGAGACATTTAGCAGCCAGAAGAATTACATTCATTACAGCTATTATACTAAATTCTTTAAAGGAAGTAATTGAGTGATTCTAGTCTATATCTGCTAACTATATGTAGGTCATAAAATCCTTGAAGTCGTTATCCCTCTTATTCCTCTCTGAATAGTTGAAGTAAAAAGGGATTTTTTTTCTACAGGTTTGAATTTCTTAGAAAATTAGTAATGAGAAACTTGGAATAAACTAGGATAGTGGCTTTATCTTTGTTGTGAACTATTAATGCTTTCATTCCTGGTATGCTGAAAAATGATTGAAAGACTTTATCTCTAGTTGAGTATACCTATTTTCCCTCAAGACTTTTAATTTTTTTTAAAAAAATGTGTTTTTTTTTTTTTTTGACAGACAGTGAGATAGAAAGAACACTCCCATCTATTCATTCATTCCCCATATGCCAACAATGGTCTTGAGTCCCGGACTGAAGACCAAGAGCCAAGGACTTGGGCCTGGCGCTGTAACCTAATGGCTAAATTCCTCACCTTGCGTGCACCAAGATCCCATATGGACACTGGTTCGTATCCTGGCTGCTCCACTTCCCATCCAGTTCCCTGCTTGTGGCCTGGAAAAGCAGTAGAGGATGGTCCAAAGCTTTGGGACCCTGAATCCATGTGGGAGACCTGGAGGAAGCCCCTGGCTTCAAATCAGATCAGCTCTAGCCATTATGGCCACTTGGGGAGTGAACCAACAGATGGAAGATCTTTCTGTCTCTCCTCTGTAAATCTGACTTTCTAATAAAAAATAAATGAATATTAACACACAAAAAGCCAAGGACTGGATCCAGGTTTTCCACATAGATTAATTATGTGACAATTATCTAAATACTTAACTCATCGCTGCTATCTCCCAGGGTCTCCATTAGCAGGAAGCTGGTGTCAAAAGTGGAGCTGGGCATCAAGCCTAGGCAGTATCGCCATGGGTATCTCAACTGCTAGGCCAAAGACCCAGTCCAAGATTTTCCACTCAAAATGATCAAAACCAGGTTAGAACTTCCCCAAGGAATTTTGGTTTGTAACTTACAGAGTCTGCTTGCAAATCAGAGGATTTGGATGCATTCAAATCTAGTCAGAGGATTTGGGCACATCAGCTTCAATATGTCATATTGATGGAAAACTAGTTGAAAGTAGCTGCATGAACGAGTGATATTAACCTTAGACTTTGCTAATTCCCTGGAACTCATAGATTCAACTAGTTCGCCTTGTTGGGATGATGCTCCTTATATTTGCCAGAAAGGATCAGTGTCGCTATATCCGTGATGTTGCTACAGAAACAGTTGGGACTGGAATCATGGGGAAAATGGTGAGACACTTTGTAAATGAGCTTGAAGATTATTTATGTCCGTGTGAATGAAGTTCAGTCACTTGTTGAGTTGACTAACTGAGCATTCTTGTTAACAGGGAAACAAAGGTGGGGTAGCTGTGAGATTTGTATTTCACAATACTACCTTTTGCATCGTCAATTCCCACCTGGCTGCCCACGTGGAAGACTTTGAGAGAAGGAATCAAGATTATAAGGACATCTGTGCCAGAATGAGTTTTGTGGTTCCTAATCAGAGCCTCCCACAGCTGAACATCATGAAACATGAGTGAGTGGTTAAGTCTCCCTTGGTCTTTGATTAGTTGGTACAAGAAGAATTCAATGTGAGAAGGTATAAAACTGTGAAGACTGAGGGAGTACCATTTAGGAATCAGGATCACAAAGCAGAGGCGTTTTGAGACAGAGAGCAGATTTGACATCAACAAAAAGTTGAGTGCAAAAGAAAAGTTAAGTGTATTAGTGGACCAGCTAGAGTAATGGTGTTGGGATCTATCAGATGCATGCAAGTAGGCAGTCTTTCTTCTCTCTCTCTCTCTCTCTCTCTCTCTCTCTCTCTCTCCCTCTCCCTCTCTCCCTCCCTCCCTCCCTCTTCCTTCCTTCCTTCCTTCCATCCATCCACCCATCTTTAAAAACCATTTATTTGAAACTCAGAGGGACCAGTGTTGTGGTAGAATAAGTTAAGCTGCTGTGTGCAACACTTGCATCCCATGTGGGTGTCAGTTAGGGATGTGGATGCCTCACTACAGGTTCAGTTCCATCCCAGTGCGCTTGGGAAAGCAGCAGAGGACTGGACCCCTGTGCTCATGTGGAAGACCTGGAAGAATCTCTGGGCTCCTGACCTTGGCCTGGCACAGTCCTGGCCTTTGCAGCTATTTAAGGAGTGAATCAATGGATGGAGGATCTCTCTGTCTCTCCTCTCTCTCTCTCTCTCTTTAATTCTGCCTTAAAAAATGAAATTCATCCTCCATCTTCTGCTTACAGGAAGCAACTTTCCTTGCTATGCCACAACACTGGCCCTGTAGTAAGTTTTATTTTATCATTATGAAATAGAAATGTTTGCTGTAAATGTAGTAAAAGATAAAGATTAAAAATCCCCAATTTATTTTTTAAATTTACTGAACATTTTTAAAAAGATGTATTTATTTGAAAGGCAGGATTACATAGACAGAGGGAAAGACAGAGATCTATCTGCTGCTTCACTCCCCAGATGGCCTCAATGGCTGAGGCTAGGCCAGGCTGAACTCAGGAGCCAGGTGCTCCTTCCAGGTCTCCCATGTGAGTACAAGTGCCTGAGCACTTGGGCCATCTTCTGCTGCTTTCCCAGGTACATTATCAGGGAGCTAGATCCGAAGCAGAGCAGCTGGTACACGAACTGGCAGTCATATGGGAATGCCAGTGTCACAGGTCATAGCTATCCATTGTTGGCCCCTAGAATTCCTCTTTTCTCACCCTCTCCTCTCCTCAAATTCTGTCCAAAAGAAATCATCCTCAGTGGTCAGTGCATGACCTTCTTGGTCTGTTTGTGCTATCCACGATTACAGCCAGGAGCCACATTGAAGACTGGGCACTTAACAATGCAAGTTCAAGTGAAGCTATGCAGTAGGCATAAACTGTCAGATACTTAGTAGGAGAAAATTTAAACTGTCTCAATTGTTAAATATTAATCACCTGTTGGAATAATAATTTATTTTTGTATCTTGCATTAATATGAAGCTTTTATTTTTACTGGATTTTTTTTTTTTTTTTTTTTTACTTTTTAAAAAATATTTGTAAGGCGGAGTGGCAGAGAGGGAGAAGGAGAGAAAGAGAAAGAGTCTTCCAGTGCAGAGACCCATGCACTGGATTTAGCCTGCACTGCCTTCCCAGGTACATTAGCAGGAAGTTATATTGGAAAAAAATGGCCCACGCCTCAAATTGGTACTCTGATATGGGTTGCTGGCATCACAAATTGTGGCTTAGCCTATAATGCTAGCCTCAATTCTTGCACATTTTAAATGCAGCTGCCAGAGAATTTAAAACTATATTATGACATGCATCATATTTCTATTCTAGACTTTCTCTGCACATATAAACACATATATACTTGTTGTATAAGACCACGTTATTCTATTTAATGTGTATCTTTTTTTGAAGCCACTGCATCCAGGTCTATCTACATTGTTCTTTTTGATGGCTGTGATTATTTCAAAAAGGAGTAGCAGAAAGAGGTCAGTGAAGAATGGGACTTAATATGGATACAACCAGAAATAATTGAGGAGTGGATTGGGTAGTGGGAGGAGATAATTAGCTGTAAAGAAATTACAGCTGGTTGTTGAGATTTTGAGACATTATTCTGAAATAATGGTTTGAGATGGGACTTAATGGAAAAGCAGAAGATTATTTAGGGGTATTACAATCAATAGAGAGCAGGGTAATTTTAGGGTAAAGTAGTGATACTGACCTGTCTCACAGTGCTGAAGTCAAAGCCATGAACTTTGTGACCATGAAATTGCCTTGAAATTCCATGAATTTACTCAGCTCCAGGACTCCTTGAGCCATCTCTCAAGGGAATCTACTTTGATGTTTTAATTTCAGGGTCTCCTTTTGTGGGATTTTCAACTTATGTGGAGGCCAGTTGTTATTGGGACCAAGGAGCCCCTAGCAAGCCAGGTACCCTCCTGGCCTGGATCTTGGGCTGCAGCTTGTGGGTAGGGATAGACCTGTTGGCTACACTGCAGAGTCCTGGGCCTGCTTTACCTGGTGGGCCGTGCCTGGGAGTGCTGTCAACGCAGACCTTAGTGGCAAGCCTGCAAAACCTCAGGACTCAGAGAGGCAGAAAATGTTCAGATTCTCTTTCCCTAGAGACCTGCCAAGCAGCCAGGCATTTTGAAGCTATTCCAGCAGATAAATTGCATACTTCTCAATTCATTAACTCCTTGACTTCTGAAACCCACAAATAAGCTGTGTTTCCCTGCTTTTGTTGCCAGTGTATGGAGTGCCTATTTTCTTACCTATTTTGAAATCCTTTATCTCTCTTAGGTGTGGATAGTTAATTATGCCCAAAGGATTAGATATGGCTTTAAACAGCTTGCCAGAGATTGATAAGTGAACTCCATAATCTGCCCATTGTCTTCCCACATTCTTCTCTGATTAATTCTTATGCTAATAGTGGTTCCTTCTGTTCATTTACTTCTTGATCCTCAGTGTGGTCATTTGGCTGGGAGACTTGAACTATAGACTTTGCATGCCTGATGCCAATGAGGTAAAAAATCTTATTAAAAAGAATGACCTTCAGAAGCTCCTGAAATTCGACCAGGTAAATAAAGTTTTGTTCTATCGGAACTTTTCTAGGTGACAGATCAGACTGCAAGGGGTTTGTGGGTGGGAGCCACACGGGCATCATGGCTTACTCTAGGAAGAGATGTGGAGGTCTTCCTGTCTCCTGAGACCAGTATGACGAGTGATGTGCTGTGAATCCCTATGAGAGTCCTAGTGCCTGTCGTTAAGTGTTTCGGTGGGAGGAGGGGAAGTATAACTCGTGATAAAGAGTAACATATATTCAGTAAGTTTTTATCAAGATGAGATTTCAGAGATTTGCTTGCATAGCTGACTTGGAGAATGGGTGGGGTTAATTGGCGAATACTTCCTGGCGGAAGTGAGCCTTCAGCTCTGTTGATGTGGTTTGGCAGCTGGAACAGGGGAAACTGTTCTGTGATTACTTGGAAGGCTGAACAACAGCTTGGAGGTAAAAGAGGGAGGCCCTGTGAGAGGGATTGGGAGACAGAGAATTGAGTAGGCTATAGTCTAATGAGAACTGATGGCTAAGTCCGGCTGAGCCAGTCTGGAGAGGTGGATGTTGAAGTCAGTGGAAAAGGTATTGATTATGTAACATTTCCATGTAATCTGATATCCAGGAACCTAGTTTCCATGTATTTAAAATGCTAGGTTTCCCTCAGAACTTGGCATGGGACTGGAGTTTGTACTTCAGCATATGGTAGGGATTCTGCCTTCTGAAAGGGAATGCTTCTTACTGAGTGAAGAAAATGTTTTGACTGGATTCAAAAGTCTTTAAATCTTTGTGAGAGCCCTTTTGACCTTCAGACGCAGTCAAAATGCAGATGTTTGCAGTAGAGTGATTTTTGTAGTGAGCTGTTTCTGGCTTCACAATGAACTTCACTGGTGAACTTTGCATTTCTTCCTCCTTGTGGTCTGCAAAAGGAGTCCAGTTGGAGCACATTCTGAGTGTCGTATAACTCGGGTAAAACATTTGAATGAGGATAGCTTTCAAAAACAGTTTGTAGCTATACACTGGATTTGGGTTGGGAATTAGCCATTTAACCTTTGTGTGCCTTTTTTTTTTTAATTAAGATCATACTGGATTATCTCAATTTTTGATTATTCAAATTTCATGCTTCCATTTTGTCCCTGGCTAATATTAGCATTGAAAAACTTAATGATGAGCTAATAAGCATTTTATGTGAGGGTGAGTTTAAATATTGTGACAGTGCTGAGGTTTAATTCACAAGATATAGAAATATTATGTACTATCACAGTTATAATAGCTGCACAACTGGAGACTTAGAAATGAGAACCGTGATGAGTCAATCTGTTTGTCTCTGTTATGATGGTGTCATGTTGCTTATGCATTGCTTTTTGTTTGTTTTACTATCTGTAGCTAAATATCCAGCGCACACAGAAAAAAGCTTTTGTTGACTTCAATGAGGGGGAAATCAAGTTTATCCCCACTTACAAGTATGACTCAAAAACAGACCGATGGGATTCCAGGTAAAAAGAAATACTAAGAACCTTCTCAGAGACTAGGTTAAGGCATGACCTGTTTGGGGCATTATGGACTCCATCCATATTCGTGAAGAGTGGATAATGTTTGGGTCTTGCCGTAGCAGTGTTAATGCTTTAATGGTTTGGTGCTACTGCTGCAGGACAGTTTTAATCCAAGTGTAAGCAAAGGTGAGCTTATCTTAGAAAGTATTACTTACAGACCAAGGCTGTTGACATTTTATGGACTTTCTGCAGCACTTATTTCTGTCACCTCACCAGACTCACTTAGGTGCTTGCTTTCCTGATCTCAGCCCTATTTCCTATCTATTGCCCTGTTCTGGCTGCTTTTTTTCTTCTTCTGTTTCTTGGCTGTTGAACTCAAGATACCAGAAGGTGAAGCCAAAGATGCATGTGAGAACTAACCCAATAGTTGTCAAGCCTGAGAAAACAATTGAGTCTCTTAGGAAAAATGAAACACTTTTAAAGTCTTGATGCTTGGACTGCATGTCCATCACTGTTGAAGACAGTTGAGACCTCTCACTGGCAGGCCCCCTGGCTTTCTGATCGCCCCAAGGAACATGCTTGTGTCAGGAGCTTCTTGGTAACTGAGTCTCCTCTTCCTGTGGCCATCTCTTTACTTCTCATGGCTTCCTAGCTGGCTGAGCACAGAACCTTGAAGGAGAAAGAGTTTCAGACTCTGAGAGCCATGGGGCAGGAGGAGTATATATTCTTGTGTTCCAAGGTAGCTAGTCATAAATAAAAAGTGATACTAACACACCTTGTACACTTTGCCTGGCTTTTTTCCCATTCATTTGCATGCGGAGTCAACTGAACAGAAATAGGCTTATCCCCTTCTGGATCAAGTATACAAGGTGCTGCTTATTTCAACAGAGTCATGAATAGGCCTTCTCCTTACCCATGGCATTCAGCGAGCTGTCAGATGCTCAGACTCACATGCTTATGTGTTCATTCATCTCTGTTAGAAGAACCTCGACTTGTCCATAAAAGCCCAGGTTTCAAGGAAAACCTCTCATCTGTTATTCCTGTCCAGAGATTTAAGTCTGGCAATACAGGACTGGATTTTAAACCTGGATTAGTTAGTTATCTTTTGGAAAATGTCATTGCATTTCCCAGAACAAAGGAAAAAGAGATGTTCAGATTATAAACTGGACCTTTTAAATAGGTGCTGTTATCATTTCCACTGGGATTACATCCAGTAATCCCAATCTTAAGGTAGTTTATTTATTCATTAGGTAACTATTCATTGAGCACCTACTTTGCATCACATACTGTATCACTAAGTGCAAAGAGCCCAGATGCAAACAGCAGGCACAGTCCCTTGTTTAAAAAAAAAAAGTCACAGAGCTTGCAGCATTACTAATGCTGTGATAGTTCAGAAAGGAGTAGTACACAGCTGTTTAGGAGCATATAACAAGAAGGCTTGTCCCAGCGTGCTAGGCGTTCTGTGGTTCTGTGATTATGTGGTACGTTCTCCGTAACTCATTGCTTTATTTACAGTGGGAAGTGTCGCATTCCAGCATGGTGTGATCGAATTCTTTGGAGAGGAACAAATGTTAATCAGCTTCACTACCGAAGTCACATGGAACTGCAAACCAGTGACCACAAGCCTGTTAGCTCTCTCTTCCATATTGGGGTAAACACCTGTTTGTTTATTAACTTTTCTGTCGTTGTTAAACGTCTATTCCTAGAGCATTGTGTAGATTCGAAATACATCAGTAATTCAATGAACCATAAATGTTTCATGACTAGTGATTATTTACAGCATGGAGGACTGGGCCTGCAGTCCTTCCAGATGCTTTCCATCTAGTTTTCCACTGTGTGAGTGACAGAGATGTATGTACTATGTGATGGCTAGGTGGTAGATAAGCTGAGCCTCCTGAAATCAGAATACATACAGAAGGGAGATGCTGTGCTTTAAAAGATGAGCAGCTTTTCAGCAGATAATAAGAAAGGATAGGTTCTAAGTGGAAGAAAGAACAGCAAAAGCAAAGGTACCAACCAGAATATAACCACCAATCTGTATATTGCCTTAAGAAGTATAGTATAATCTCTGTTGTAATAAAATTTACTTGTCCAGTAGCATTAAGTTTATTTTTCTTCAACTTTCAGGTATTATGGGCCAGATTAGTAGCCAGTTATGTATTTACTTTAAGGATTTTATTTACTTATTTGGAAGGTAGAGTTAGAGAGAGAAATTTGTCTACTGTTCACTCCCCAAATGGCTGCAGTGGTTGATGCTGGACCATGCCAAAGCCAGGAATCTGGAGTTCTTCTGAGTCTCTCACATTGGTGCAGAGACACAAGCAGTTGGATCATCTTTCACTGTTTTCCCAGGCACATTAGCATGGAGTTGGACTGAAAATGGAGCAGCCAGGACATGAATCAGTACCCATAAAGAATCTTGGCGTCGCAGGTAGCAGCTTAACCTGATGTCCTGTAGTGCAGAGTGGCCAATTATTTTATTTATCTCTATTGTAAGCAAAGCTTTTTTCCCATTGTGTTTGCTTTAGCTGTATAGTACATAAGTCACATCTCGTATTCTGGCCTAAGGTATTCTAACCAATATACTTAGGTTATTGCTTGTGGATTTTCATAGACCTAGGGTCATGTAATCTGTCAAAATGTATTTAGTGCAATGCTTAGTGCTTAGTTGCATAAACTTTTATGATAGACTTCTTGGATTTTCACCCTAGGTCAACCATTTCCTAACTACATATTACAGCCTGGTACTTCGGTTTCCCCTTGATGAAATGTGAATAGTAATGGTATTTACTGATGAGGATTCATGACATGCAGAGATCATAGTAGGGTGAATTTTCTTTTCTTCAGTTTGTATTACACTGTTGGGAGTTTCAGAAATGGCATCTACCACCAATAATAGGTCTTATCCTGCTCCTGCATCAAAGAATGACTTTGTGACTTTGCCTTTAACACTATAGTTTCCAATCTTAGATTCTAATTTAAAAACATTTGCTCTTATTTATATTAGAGGCAGAGTTACAAAGAAAGAGAGAGATCTTCCAGGTGCTCAAATTGATTGTATCAGCCAGGGCTAGATGTGGGTAAATCTAGGAGCCTAGAACTGTATTTGGGTCTCCCCATGTGGGTGGCAAGGCCACCAAGTGCTTGGATCACTTCCCCTGCTTTGCCAGATGCATAAGCATGGAGCTGGATCAGAAGTGGAGCAGCCAGGACTTAATCCATTTCTCATATGCGATGCTGGCGTCTCAGACAGTGGCTTAACTTGATGTGTCACAGCACTCACCCCAGATTTTAAAGCTTTTTTTTTTCAAACAATCATGACTTGACTTTTGTCCATTTAAAAATTTTAAAATAGTGGTGTTTAATAATAGCATGTGTTCCTTCAGTGGTAGCAGTAGCTGTGTACCATCGACTGTGTTAGGCAATTTGCACACATCTCACTGACTTCTCGCAGTAGTGCTTTGACTTCAGGATTTCTCATTTAATAGAGAAGCAGATAGAGAACCAGTGAGTTTAAACATCTCCTTTAAGAGCATTCTATTAGAAGTACTGAGAATCAGGGCTGATGCCATGGCGTGGCAGGCTAATCCTCAGCCTGTGGCACTGGCGTCCCATATGAGTGCCAATTTGCCTCTGGTCCACTCCCAATCCAATGCCCTGCTTGTAGTCTGGGAAGGCAAGAATGCACATTTTCCATGAACGTTAGGCAGACCCCTTGTATACTTTCGGATGCTACTGCCTGGAGCTGTTCTCTTTCCTTTGAATTCTCTTAAACCATTTTAAGAGAATGTCTTTCTTTGAATTCGAACTGTTTTGATCTCATCAGCTGTGCTTAACTGTTGTTTGCATTTCTTTTTAGAACTTTGGAATATTAATCCTCTATGCACACGAATCCGGAGCTCTCGGTGGGATATTTTTTAAATTTCCAGGCTCCCCGCTTATTTTTGTGTTTCCTTGGTGAAAGTCTACTACTTTTCTAGTTTTTAATGATTTTGAAGTTGTACAGCAGTTCAAAAGTACTTTAAAAAAAAATTAGAATTTACAGATGAAGCTGACATTCTTTGATTCCTCTACTACCTCCTACTTCTGCCTTTTCCCAAACTCCCAGCTGAGCTGGCTGCTTACGAGTTTATATTCTCTAGGTCTGTGAGATCCACTAGTACTTGCTGCAGTGATGCAGATGTCCTCTATGTATGTTGTTTGTCTGGTAGCTATTAGCCACGAGTGCCTATCAAGTACTTAACTGAGATCTAGTTTGAAGTAATTTAAATGTCCCTCTGTGGCTAGTGGCTAATGTGTTAGGCAGAGCAATTCTTGTCTCTTGTGTTTACAACAAAATGGTTGCTGTGTAGTGCTGCTGACCAGCCGCGACACTAAAATGGCGAGGCATACTCTTGAGGGTCTGAGAAAACCTGGAACCGCAACTAGACCCCTCACTGCCAAAAGTGGCTGCATTTAAACCCTTTTCTCCGCTGTCCCTTTCTCCATTGGTCTTAGCTTTCCTCCCCGTTCTCCAGCCCTCTCTCTGCCACCCTTCTCCGTTCTTGTCCCCATACTTTCTGTTGCACTTCTCTGTTCTTGTCCCTGTATGTAGGTCTTACTGCTTCTGTACTGCTTTTGTACCCCTCTCTGCCGCTTTTCCTCCTTGTACTCCTTAGCTTTTCTACACAAAGAGCTTAGCCCTTCTTCCCCTCTCTGCTGCCCCGTTCTTCCTGTTCTGTCCGTCGTTCTTCTCTCAGTCTTTCTCCTCGTCATCTCCCTCTTTAGCTTTTACTGGCTGCTTTTATACCATTCTCCACCAATCACTTCTCCCCATGGGTCCACTTGGCGCTACCTGATAGGCCAGTAGCAATGACATAATTACAGCAAGGGCATCAGCCTATCCCTGTGACTTCCTGTTTACCTGCTGATGAGACCAACCCTGCCTCCTGGCCCTAGGCCAACCGCTATTCTGCGACGGCCTTTCCTATTCCAGCTTTCCTATTCTAAGGAGCGGCTTCAGCACCCCGCTCCCCACAGTGTAGATTTATCTGTCACAAGTGGTTGCATGTTATCTATGTTGGTCTGCAACTTCCTTTTTTCTTTCCTTTCCATAATTCTGCAGCGTATCTTAGAAAGCTGTCCTTTTGATTACATAAAGACCTAGCTCATGATACTTTGTCCTGAATTCCTAATTTTGTCATTAATATCCTTTGTTAAATGGATGTTCGTTCAGGTGGTGACATTCTTTGCTATCCCTCCTCCATTATCCTTTATATTGATGATCATAATAACCCACTGAGAAAAGATTCGACTTTGTTGTGTAACCTGAGCATGTATTTTACCACCATTGGCACCAATGCAGCCACATGCTTTGTGGTCAGTTTCGAAAAACTTTCTGTGGGCTGGCTGAGATCAAACTAATGTGGGCTACACACTTGGTATTGTGATTTGTTGTGTTGGTTCTGAATCTTTGATAAACCTAGAATTGCCTAAAGAGTTTTTCAGTAAGTCGGAGAGGGAAGGAGCTCCAGCCTTGGAGAACAGGCTTAGTAGGCCCAAGTAGCTATGCATTTGAGACATGCCCAAGTTGATTGTCTCACATACTTGGTATTTTAGAAAGCGTCTTTCACTAGTGGTCATCTTTAATAATAACTGTGACCATAAGCATGTTCCCAACTACATGGAGAATATTTCTTGGTTTGCTAGTCTTGCAAATTGTGGAAGTTTTTTTTAAAAAATATACTTTTTAAAATTAAAAAAAATGCACAATGTTGAAACTATATAAAATTCATCTGGACTTAATCACCGTGTACAGTATGGACTCTGGTTATGCAAAAAATGATGGCTTGACCCTCAGTTGTCTGAGAAGTATGGTTCAAATATGTTTAAAACATCTTCCCAGTTTGAGATATTTGGCTGACCTTTAATGTTCTGTTTTTCACACCTGCTTTAGAAACTCTGCCGTATATACATGAATCTCTTGACATGGATTTTTGTGATTTTTTTGTCCTAAAAACTGATATCTGAACAAGTTAAAAATATCTTGTCAATTATGTTCATTTTGGCATTAGTCTGTTTGAAGTTTTAGTATTCAAAAAAACACTGCTACGTCAGGAAGCTGAAAGTGCTCTGTCATGTGGAAGTTTTTTGATGCGTTAGTCATGGTACTTTAGCTATAATGATTTTACTCTAGGACATTTTGTGTCAGCCATTTTCTAAAATGAACATAGGTTCCATTTACTAATATACCTTCGCTGTTATCCAGTCTGAGTCATGATATTATGGTTCTTAGCTAATAGAGTTCAGTACTTTAATCATATCTTCTGCTATTTTCACCACTTTTTTATAATTATTATAAATGATAATGGGTATATTTTGATGCTGTCATTTTGTATAGTGCATGAAGTAATTTTTACTGCAATTACATTTTTTTCCACTACTAATAATGTAACAGTTGAACAGGAAAATAGCCTTCCTAAGTATTATTGCCAAGCTTAACATAGAGGTTTCAGCTATTCTAGAAAATTAGTCAATTACCCTTGCCTTTACCTTAAAGTATGTGCTTCTATAATGGTTAATGTATTTGCTTGAGTAATCTTTTAAAAAATTATTGGAGAGACTTGGAGATAGGTACAGAAGTTGGGAGAACGTAAGACTAACACAAAGATCTGTTTTCTTTTAGGTGAAAGTTGTGGCTGAAGCAGGATGAGAAACTGAGGACATTATTTGCCTCACAGTTTATTTAAAATGATTGCTATACCAGCCAGTTTTAACTTGTTAGATAACCTCAAGAGAGATGAGCTGGGCATGTGTGAGACTGAAAAGGGGCTTAATTTTGTTTCAGGTAAAGGTTGTGGATGAACGGAGATATCGGAAAGTCTTTGAAGATATCGTGCGCATCATGGACAGGATGGAAAATGACTTCCTTCCTTCCTTAGAACTCAGCAGGAGGGAGGTGAGAAAACATCTGTAGCTGTCCTGTCTGCTACCCATTGTGGCCATTGCAGAGGAAACCATGTTACTCACAAAAGGCATCATAGCCAAGTGGTTAAGGCCAGGTATACCAATACGACTTCCATTCCAGTTCCAGTGCCATTCGGTACATGTGTGATGCCCTCAGATTTCTGGATTAAGGGATGCTTGTTAGAATTCCATGAGTTGATACATGCAAACCTGTTAGAACAGTGCCTAGTACATAGTAAGCCCTCAAATGTTAGCTACTCTTATTTAATATTTCAGAGTTGCTATTCAGTTCATCACTCAAAAACCAGGATTTTGTCACAAGACAAATGCCCTGAACCAAAGTTCGGTTAGTTATCCTTTTCGGCTCCCACAGGCAGTCAGTAGCCAAGGGTAGTAGCAAGAGCCGTCTAACCCCTCTGCTGGTGTGACTATAACAACGTATGAACGTGGACCCTGTGCAGTTGGCTCAGTTGGTGAATGCAGATGGCATTTGCACACCTGGCTAATAATTACCTTATTCTTTGTATTCGTATGCTCTATGGAATAATCCAACTGACTGACTTCCCCTACTAGTGATGCATGTCTGTGTCTGTCTGTTATTCCTCAGTTTGTGTTTGAGAATGTGAAGTTTCGGCAACTACAAAAGAAGAAGTTCCAGATCAGCAACAATGGACAGGTTCCCTGCCACTTTTCTTTCATCCCTAAACTTAATGACACCCAATACTGCAAGCCATGGCTTCGGGCTGAACCTTTTGAGGGCTACTTGGAGCCAAGTGAGTTTTCCCCTACCATTGTCTCTGCTTGCAATGCAATATCTCTTCAGTTTAACCTCTTGTTTTCTAACCATGTCTCTTACCTTCACATTGGAGATACTTCTTTTGTGTGTCCAATCTTTCCTTTTGTTACTTGATGATTTTTAAATATTTGTTTATTTTACTTGAAAGAGTTACAGAAAGGGAGCGGGAAAAGGAGAAGTCGAGAGAGGTCTACCATCTGTTGAGATTCACTTCTCTAAATGGCCACAATGGCTAGAGTCGGGCCAATAGGAAACCGGAAGCCGAAAGTTTCTTACAGGTCTCCCATGTGGTTACAGGGGCCCAAAGATTTGGGCCATCCTCTGCTTCTTTTCCAGACCATTTTCAGGGAACTGGATGGGAAGCGGAACAGCTGGGACTTGAAGCAGCACTCATATAGGATTCTGGCACTGCAGGTGGGGGATTAGCCTGATATGCCACTGTGCCAGGTCCAGCTTGACAACTTTTTGGAGGACACTTGTTGATTTTCTAACTTCTTTTGCTTTTCTACTGGAAGAATCTCTGTTACTGTGTATTGTCTCTTGCATTTCAGATGAGACGGTGGACATTTATCTTGATGTGTATGTCAGCAAAGACTCTGTGACCATCCTGAACTCAGGGGAAGATAAGATTGAAGATATCCTTGTCCTTCACCTGGATCGAGGCAAAGATTACTTCTTGACCATCAGTGGAAATTACCTCCCAAGTTGCTTTGGCACATCCTTAGAGGCTTTATGCCGAATGAAAAGACCAATCCGAGAAGTTCCTGTTACCAAACTCATAGACTTGGTGAGAAACATCCTAAGACATAAACCTTCTCACTATCTTCTGTGCCTTCTCTCTTCTGCGGGACAGAGAGACTGTCGAGTAATAAAGAAGAATGTTGCTTTATGCTAGCATCTCTTTGATTAGAAATTATCCTAAGAGGAAAGAAGGGGCTAATCTGTAGTTGGCACTTGTCAGGAAAATAATAGATAACATTAAGCTCATCCAATAAGATTAAAGACTGCTTGCTTGAAGATATAATGCTTGCTTGTTAAGCTCTTCAAAGTTTCAAGTCACTAGTACATAAATGAGCGTGTCTATGAGGCTATGATAAGAAGAGCAGGCCATATTAACCTCATTAAGCATATGAGGAAACTGAGGCACAGAGACATTATCTTGCCCAGAGTCTAATAAGTTAGTGACAAATCTATCACTCCAATTTTCTGACTCCCAGGCCAGTATTCTTCAGTATGCTGCATTATATCTCATCAGTGTAAAAGCTCACTGTCTATAGAAGTACAGACCTATAATGGAACCTTAAATACCAAAAGCAAAATCCCTAGGAGTTAGGAAGGTTGCTTTATTACAAGTGCAGAGTCCTTCCTACCTTATTTCTGTCAAAGAAATTAGAATCTCAGAATGTGCAGTCTGGAAACCTACATTTTTATCAATATCCTAGATGGTTATTGGTGTACACCAAGGTTGAATGTGACTCAAGAAAGGAAAGGAAAGGAAAGGAAGGGGGATTTTCTCATTCCTTCACCCAAGCTGAGCTATAATGCCAGTGCCCAAATCAAGGAAATGCTTTTAACCCTCAGTAATAGAAATGGGCTCCATACCAAGTGCATTCTATTAAGGACTTTTCTTCTACATGAAAATATTGTTGGGTTGGTATGCAGATCTCTTGGGCCTACAGAACTCTATTCTTAGTCTTTTACCCCAGAAAATTGAGTGATATGACAGCCACACATTAGTGTTTCCATTAATGTTCTTGTTAACCCTTTTGGCCTAGCCAAAGCAACTGATTTTTTATCATCTGGCAGGATGAACTTGAACCAATAGGCAGGTTACTGGCTTCTCTGAGTGTTCCGTTCTATTGCCATGGAGATGTTCTAGTGGTGATTCACACAGCAGATCAAAACACTTGAATCCGATTCCTGCATTCTCTCTTGAAATTATATTCATTTCCCTAGAGCCCTCATGACTGAATGCATTGCTTTAAGCCTGCCATTCTACTGTCATGATTTTGTGTTTTCTTCTACTACCATAGTCCCAATTCAGATTTGCTGTTTCACCTTTGAAAATACATGCTAAATGATGAAATTGTTTTCCTTTTTCCTACTCTTTCTCTTCATTAAAGATCCCATTCCCCAGATTTTTTTGCCCCAACTTTTTATCATGAAAAATGTGCACTCTGTAGACTATTTGAAACAACAGTCCAGTGAACTGCTATATGCTGTATGTATATATAGACAGAATTTGGAGAGGCACTAAGCAGCAGTATTATGTCATTTTCTCACTAAACACACCAGCTTGCATTCCTTAAGAAAAAGGACAAGCTTCTCTATGAGCAGAGCATACCAGTACTGCACCTGAGAAAACTGTCATTCCTAGGCTCTTCTAATATCCATTCCTTACAGATTTCTCCAGTTGCCCTAAACATTTATTTCATTGTGTTTTATTTTGTAAAAGATTTCTTAAAATTTTTATTTGGAAGGCAATTACAAAGAGAGGGGGGAACCAGGCAGAAAAAAAGATGGACTACATCTAGTGGTTCACACTGCAGTGGGCTGTCTGGAACTCCATCCAGGTCTCCCACATGGGTGACAGGGATCCAGGTACTTGGGCCATCTTCTGCTACTTTCCCGGGCACATTAGCAGGGAGCTGGATCAGAAATGGAGTAGCTGGGATTTGACCGAACATCCACATGGGATACCAGCATGACAGGCAAGAGCTTAAACCTGATATTGCCCCCTCCAACACACCCCATATAGCTTTTTAAAAGTCAGCATTCAATCTAAATTGATATAGCATATTTGATGAGATCTCTGTAGTTCTATTCTTATAATTACAGCCATTCTCTACTTTTTTTTAAGTGATATTGACTTTAAAGAGTCTAATACAGTTGTCATTTTGTCTGACCTTTCCTCAGTTTGTTTCCTTTTGGTATTTTTTTAACTTGTCCCTTTATCTCCCCCTTCCCCTTACTTCCTATAAACTGGAATCTGCCTTTATTTTTGACCTTGATGGAGGCCTCCTAATACTCTTTCCCATGATTCTCCTCTATTAGCTTTGGAGGTGATTGGAAAGATGCTTAATAAGTATTACAAACTTTTTTGTTTTATGTAAAATATATTATCAAGTAATTCTACCTTGTCTATCCACGGAAAGGAAATAGCCAAAGTCAATAGTGAAATTAATGGGTTTTAGGAACTATTTTCTTTGTATACACTAGAAGTGATGTAAGGTTAAAAATAAAACTCTGATCATTTTTTAATTGCAAAATTGCTCAGTTTTCCTTTTTTAAAATTTATTTTTATTGGAAAGTCAGATTTACAGAGAAGGAGACAGAGCAAAAGATCTTCCATTCGCTAGTTCACTCTCCAAGTGGCCACAACAGCCTGAGCTAAACCAATCTGAAGTCAGGAGCCTGGAGCTTCTTCCGGGTCTGTGACACAGGTTCAGGGTTCCAAGACTTTGAGCTGTCCTCTACTGCTTTCCTGGGCCATAAACAGTGCTTTTCTAGGCCATAAGCAGGGAGCTAAAATGGAAGTGGAGCAGCCAGGATATGAACCGGCACCTATGTGGGATCCTACAGCATGCAAGGTGAGGACTTTAGCCACTGGCCTATTGTGTCGTGCCCTCATTTTTTCCTAAATTCTGTGTCCAGCCATCATTTCTTCTTTCTGAATCTTTTGTTTCCTAGGAGTTAAATGTTGCATCTCAATAGTCTTAGATTACTGTAATTGATGAAGAAATTATCCATGGTAGTGTTGGACAGAAAACAAGAAATCGAAAATAATTCATATCTGCAGCAGGCATTTGGCACAGTAGTGAAAATACTACTTGGGGTAATTGCATCGCATATCAGAGTCATTAGTTTTGAACCTGCCTCTGTTTCTGATTCAGTTTCCTGCTAGTGAATACTCCAGGAGGCATCAGTGGGGTAACGCAAGTACTTGGGTCGCTGCCACCCAGGTAGAAGACCCCAGTGGAATTCTCAGCTTCATCTTGGTCCAACCCTGGCTTTTGTAACTATTTTGGGAGTGAACCAGCAGATGGAAGATAATTCCCTCTCTCCCTTCCCTCTCTTACTCTCTCTTCTTCTCGATCCCTAGTTCACCCTCAGCCTATCTCCATTTCTCTTTTTGCTTTTCAAATAAAAGGAAAATAAAATTTTAGAAGTATAAAATGACCTCAAATAGCAGTCAGTATCCCAGTCTTAATATCTCCTTCCTACCCTGTTTTAACTTGATGTTGACTTTCTGAAACTCTTCCTTAGGTACAATGTTTGTTCATATTGTTCTCCGAGACCCAAAATGATATTTCAAATCCCTGAGATGAGGCAATTGGAAATGGAAAATTTGATGAAGTCAGAAATGTACTCAGTGCATGTAGTGCTTTAGGAATATTCTTTATGCCATGCCCCCTTCCTACTCAATGCAAAATGAAATAACTGCAAAGTCTATTTCATTCTTCTGCCCTTCTCACTGACCCTGGATTTGCCACGTCTAGAAGAAGAGTTAGAATTGGCACAAGTGAGAAACAGGTGACAATCCTTGTTCTTCCCAGAATGAAGATGGATTTTTTTTTGTCTGCTTTCTTAATTAACATATCAAGTTGCAAATCATCAGCAGTTATTCATTACACACTAGATATAAAGTGTTACCGGGTTTATTGGATTCCTATAATTCAGTGATAATGAAACCATAGTTGCATCTTCAATATGGCTAAATTCCCAATCATAGTTAGAACCAGAGTTTGGTTAGAAATAATCGAAACACAAATTGCCATTGCTACCTAATATCCACTGTGTTTGGTTAATTTGGAAAGTGATTTAAACTGTTAGGGAACTTGTTGCTTGTGTTAACGGATTCATTTCCTGTGCTGTTTTCTCAAGTCCTCATGTGCTATAAAATAAAAGCTTATTGACTTATCTCCAGAAAAATCAATCTCAGAATCAGCCTATTTGGGTTTTTAGTAACCTTGATACATGTAACATTAACAAAATAGGTTTAGCACATAGAGTAAAATAAATTTGGCAAGTGATTGAGGTTGGTTATCAGGGTATTTTTCCATCAATTTCAGGTTCTTAGGAACCAGGTGTTAATATAATGAGTGAGCAGGCTTTTCCAGCTGCAAGGGACATCTTAAGTAAGAGATAGAAGGTAAAAGTGAAAAGATTCCCCCATATGAAAAATGGTTATGATTTCCTTAGAAAGAGTGAAAATTATAAATAAGAATATGTGAAGTTACAGTTTGGAAGGATAGTCAGAGTCAGCCGCTGACCGTGTATGTTTGAGCCAAAGGCCGTGCAGAACCGGTGGAAGCCTTTGATGTGTAGCATGAAATTGTAACTTGACATGTCTAACATTGCTTGTACAATGGAAAGGAGACTGGGCTTGAATTTGCCAGATCTGATTAAGGGTTATGGTTGGAAATAGATGAAAAAGGTTGATATATGGGTAGAGAAACTGTATTTGTATGGGAACGTGTGCATTGGGAGAATAACAGTCAAAATTTTGACATTCTTGGAGGATTGAGTCATCTCCAATGATTGTTTCATGGTGGTTTTTCTTTCTTTAAGCTTTTTCATTAATTCATTTCAAAATCAGAGTCAGAGAAAGAATATCTTCCACCCGCAGGTTCACTCCCAAAATGGCCACAATGTCCAGGGCTAGCCCACACGAAAGCCAGGAGCTCCATCTGTTTCGCTCACATAGGTGGCAGGGGTTCAATGACCTGAGGCATCCTCTGAGCGGTCCCAGGTACAGCAGCAGGGAGCTTAACTAGAAGGAGCAGCTGGGACATGAACAGTCACCAATGTTTTCTTTGTCACTGTTCCCTCAACCTATTTCTCATCTTGTTGGGAAAACGATTTGTGTTTCTTCTCTCTGTGTTTCATATGAACTAATACTTTTTAGAATTCAATTTCCCATTCATATTTTTGCTTTTGATTTTTTTAAAAGTTTGAATCTGCTACTTATATTATGGTAGGTGCATTTACTACTAGGTGCATCTAAGAGTGACTGTTGGAGTAAAGAATGATTTGAGTTACATTTGCTGTGTGTCATCATGGTCCTACTGAGCAAATCCGGAATTGTTTTTCCTGTTTTTTTTTTTTCTTCCATGGGATCAATGCATAGCCCTTTGCAGAGAGCTGGCATCACTACCCCTTAAAATCAGTGGGAATTAATGATTGGTAGTAAATTTGGGACTTCATTAAGAATAGTCTGTTTATGAGTGGAAGTTAAATAATGTTTTCCCTTTTCAGAATGGAAACGAGTGTTTAATTAAATGTAATTTACAGCTACTGCCTTTATGTCTTTTTCCAAAGAAGTGAACTAACAGTGTGAAGCGCCTGCCCCTCCACAGGTGTAATCAAAGTCCTATTATTTTCTTTTCAAAAATATTTATTTTTCTTGGAAAGGTAGATTTACAGAGAGAAGGAGAGACAGAGAAAAGGATCTTCCACCAACCTGTTCACTCCCCAAATGGCCATAACGGCCAGAGCTGAGCCAGTCTGAAGCCAGGAGCCAGGAGCTTCTTCCAGGTCTCCCACTTGGGTGCAGGGTCCCAAAGTTTTGGACCATCCTCCACTGCTTTCCCAGACCACAAGCAAAAAGCTTTATAGAAAATGGAGCAACCAGGACATGAACCAGCACCCACATGGGATCCCATTGGTTGTGGTACCTGCAAAGGGAGGTTTGGCCAAATGAGCCATCATGCCAAGCTCTGTTATTTTCTCTATTGGTTTAAGTGTTTCCTCTCTCCTGCTTAACCTACCCTGCTAAGCCGACCTTTAAACGATCCCCTCTGCCTCTCTCTCTTTCACCCCTTTCATTTTTTATATTCAGAGCTATCAGATGGATACTGTAATACTACTTTGGGGCCTGTCTCTTCCTTGCTGTAAGATAGTCAGTCACCAGCTTCCCGTGTTTACTGAATATAATCCAAACTCCTTAACCTGTTATTCAATGGCCCCCAAAGTCTGTCTTCACAACTTTTCAGAAATTATCTCCCACTGTTTTTAACCATGTTTGCCATATGCCCCATGAACTAGATGACCAACTTCTTCATGATTAGCTTATCTTTACCTCTTCCATTTTTACCTCTGCACATCTCAAATCCTGTGACTCATTTAATGGCTAATAACCTTTCATTGAAAACTTGCATTCCCCTTTGTCTCTCCTCTTCCCCCAGATACAGGAAGGAAAAAGAGAATGTGGAAACAATGGTCTTATCCATTTTCCTGTAGCGCTTGACCCTTTGTGCCCTAATCAACTATGTAAAGATCATCAAAATAAAAAAGAAAAAGAAAACTTGCATTCCCAAATTATAGCAATATTGGGCCAGGAATTCCAGAACTACTCACTGTAAGTCAGGTGCAAACCAGTCAAGAACCAAGCATGTCTTGCTCCTTCGTGAGTGCTCATTCCTCATTGCCCTCTCCCAGAAGACTTTAGCACAATGCCGTGTGCTACTGCTAGACAGCCACTGCTCAAAGAAAATGTCCTCAATGACCACGTTTTTTTTTTTTTTTTGATGACCACGTTTTACAGTCTAGTAGAAACGGGTTGGTTTCTGCCAAGTCTTATTCACCATATCACATGTTCTTGGCAAGAAAAGTATAAAGTCTGCCCAACAGGCAGATTCTCTTATTTTCTAACACCTACTCCTATATTTTGTAAAAGGTTATGCTCCAGAATTCTATTAAAGTGTGTTAGACACTTAATTTTAAAAGGTATTCAGACACTATAAATATTGTCTACCATATAAAGTGGTGTTAGCCTGATTATTTCATCTTTGATGTGGTTTTTGTCTATCTAGAGAAACCTCCAGGGAATGTTTAATTCATAGTGTATTAAAAAGAAAACATCCTCCTTGCTGAATGTAGCAGTCATTTGGGGGAAATACATTCAGTATGAGCACTTGGAACGTCACAGTACACAAACATCCTCCTGACCACCATTTGTCTTGGATAGTTAGATCGGGATATCTTTTACTGCCAGATATAAGATGTTATTTATGCTTGAGTTCTTTCCGTGGCCCACGGTGAGGTTGGAAGGAGTCCAGTTGGAGAATTGCAGGGGAGGTGTGGGGAGCTAGGAGGGACCCAGGCCTTCTCCTGGCATAATGTTCACCCTTCCTGCTTGCGGACTGCCTCTTTGCCCCCACTGAGTAAATGTCACTGCTGTTTTAGAGATGAAGAAACTGAAGCTCAGTGAGGGCGTTTGGCCTAGCAGTTTAGAAGCCAGTTAGGATGGATGGCTGTGTCCCACAGAAGAGTGTCTGTGCTCAGTCATGGGCCTTGGCTCCTGCTTCCGGGCTCCTGCTGACCCCAGCAGGCAGTAGTGATGACTGAAGCAGCAGGGTTCCTGCCACCCACGTGGGAGACCTGGGTTGAGTCACCAGTTTCAGCCCCACAGCTGTTAACAGACATCTGGGGAACTGGACCGGGGAAGGGGGACTCTCTCTGTTTCTCTGCCTCTCAAAGGAAGAAAAGCTGAGACAGTACAACGTTCAGTAACCTGAGGTCTGTATAGAATGAGTAAGAGAAAGAACAGAGATCTGTGCCTGGACTGTCTAATACCATCAGCCACGGTGCCTTGCACTGCCTTGTGAGTGGGATTTTTCAGGCTCTTCAGTCTGTTATGGAGAATGTACTCTCGCAGCTTTCCCTTGCCTCTCCCGCTAAGAAGCAGTTGCTGCAGAAGCATAGTGATAATGACTGTGGCATTGGTCAGACCTGGATTCCAATCATGATGGTACTGATAGTGTCATCCTGGGCAAATAACCTCTCAGAGCCTCAGTTTCTTCATGTGTAAAATGGGAACAGTATCTGCCTTGCACATCAGTGCAGGTTGCCATGACATAAGATGCAAGCACCTGGCACAGTTCCTGGTGTATATCAGATGCTCTGTAAGTAGTGCCAACAATTACAGTTACTTTATCACTAGGTTGTCATAGTAACATAAAATGGAATGTTTAGTAAGATGCCCTTTTCTCTTTATCTGGCTTTTCTTTTTCTTTTATTAAAAAAAAAAAAAAGGTGGAGGGGGAGGAGGGAATAGATCCACAGAAGTCTCAAGTGAAATGCATTTCCATATCAGAGGTTTCAAATCTAGGGGGACTCCACAGACAGGGGTGGGTATGGGTAGATGATGGAGAGGAATCTGGGATGCAGCCTGGGAAGCTAGCTGGAGTCAGGAGGGGCGGGCAGCAGAATGGAGAGAAGAAATCACAATGTCAGACCCACAACAAACTGTTCCATGGAGGTGGGTTAAGGTAGGGTGAGAAGATTCACAGTACAGCAGCAGATGACTAGAAAATACCAGTGAGTGTTTGGCCTGCACTGCTAGCAGCTAGCCGTCCAACTATGAAAAACTTACAGGTATATTTCTTGAATGATGTACTCAATAAACAGCACTCAGACAGGTATTCATAATAGAAAACTTTGTGCATGGAGAATGTGTTGCATGTTTGAAAATTATAAAAGCTTCGTTGAAACATTTGAAGCAGTATAAAGCATGTGTATCTATTGAGTGAGTGAGTTCTAATACCGACCTGCTGCCAGTTCTGTAAATCTAATCATTTTCTGTCTGCCGATGACTTTCTTTCCCTGCTCTGCTCTCAGGAAGAAGACAGCTTCCTAGAAAAGGTAATGCGACCCCTTGCTTCCCCTGTGCTTGATTAACATTTACCTCTATGCTCCCGGGACTTGGCCCTTAGCTGTTCCCACATCTGAGACCCCAGGCTCAGTGAATCCCCTAAAGTCCTTCAAAGTGTGTTCAAAGAACAGGAAAGATGTTTTGGCACCGGTCAAAGCTTTGAGACTTATTATGTCACAGCCATATGACTCCCAAGTTCCAGGTTTGTATTTTTGAGTTAGCAAGGAACGTTAAGTTGCATTGAGGAATCTGAAAGCTCTCATGGATTGGAGGAAGGCACCTCCTTCACCATCCTCCACTTTCCAGGGACAGTAAAGCCAGAACAAAGGGCTTACTGTTGCTTCAGAGTGATTTGGGCTTAGCAGTTATAGTGAGTCATTACTCAAAGAACATACTGACAGGGTCAAGAAGCAAAACATAGAATAGACTCTTGGTGCTGATTGTAAGGGAATCCTGATTCTAAGGGGTCGTCTGGTGAAGCCCTCTGCCTGTGGACAGGGTCACATACTCTCCCCAATCTAACAGACAAGATAGCCATGGCCCAGAAAAGGTGAAAACCTTGCCAAAGTCGTGCTGCTCCTCCTGACTGCCAGAGAGTGCAATGAGGGACCCTGGAGCACAGGTCTCCAGAGTGGTTGATGCAACCTTCCTTTTGCAGGGCCTTGCTGCCTCTCCGTCCTCAGCCGAGAGAGTGTGCAACTCCCGATGGGGCTACAAAATAGAGTGGCATGAGATTGGGGAACATTCTTTTAAAAGCTGTCCTACAGTATTTAATGAGAGCTTCCCGTGTGGTATATGGAGTACTGATTGTGTACTTTTAGTATCAGCACCATCATTATAAAGTGTGGCCTGATCGGATACCTTTTCTATAATTCCTTTTCTAATTCTTAACTATTGCTTTGTCAAAACTGTAAAATAATTTTTCACAAGAATATACATATATTTCTTTTTGTTTCTGATATTTATTTGTTTGTTTATTCTTTTAATATTAGCTCCCACATGCAAGAGAGAACATGTAGCATTTGTTTTTCTATGTCCAGCTTATTTTATTCAATGCAGTGTTCTCTGGTTGCTTACATTTCGATGCAAATGCTAAAATTCCATTCTTTTTAAAATAACTGAATAACATTCCATTTTCTTTATCCATTATTCTGGTGATGCACAACTTGGTTGATTCCAGATTTTGGCTTTTGAGATACTTTTTGAGAGAAGAATATCTTTGCTTTTCCTTGGAAAATAAGGATTCAGAATAATATGTAGGATTTGTTTAAAGTACTGATTTTTGGTATGTGTGATTTCTCACTAGGCTTTAGACATACATTTGACATTTTGTATTGCCATACATAAATTTAAAAGTGGATAGTAGATGGTGTATGTCGCTTACTGACATTTCATTAACCTTTTTAAGTCGCTAAGGTTTGAGACAGCCATGCCCCCCACCCCCACACACATTACCACTTCTCTGTTACCAGCACTGTATGTTCTGTCTTTTCATCTTGGGCAGTGCTCTGTGTTGCCTTGGTGCCTTTGGTTAGCAAAAGATCCAATTAGGTGTCAGATCTTTTTGGGAGGAAAGTACATGACTCAGTGCTGAATAATTTATATGTGATCAGTTAAGAAGCAGCTGCCAAAGAATCCATTGCTGGGTTGGGTTTGCTCCAGAAAGTTTGCAGAGTACTCTATGGACAGTGTTGTGACTTAGATTGTATGTGGATGCCTGGATGTAAGACTCACATTGGGAACAAGTCAGTAAGTGCATGGGCCATTGATGGAAGTTCTGGTGGCTATATGGAACATGCATATGAAGTGATAGAATCCCAGGAAAAGGAAGAAAGAAGGCCGAGAGAGAGAGAGAGAGAGAGTGATAGCTGACTGTCCTACTCCTTGCTCTTCCTTGCCCCTTTAGACTTTAGAAAGTCACAAGGCTTTTCAGTGATGATCAGTGCTTCTTCAAGAATGCAACATTATGAGGAGACCCCAGCTCTACCATAGTGTACGTGATCTCAGTGAAAGTAGTGACGTGCTTGTTCACTGTCCCTTGCAGGCTGCACAGTGTTAGGCAAGACTTGCCTCAAGTTGAACATTTATAATACAATGACATTCAACTGGAGGAGAGCAGAATGGAAACCTTGGCCATGGTTTCTTTCTACCCTGCGATTTGTCTGAGGGCTGCTTTCAGATGCCTGTCAACCTATTACAGACAATTCTTTGTATAATTTGGCATTTGACTCCGGAAGCCTGAGATGACTCAGTCTGCTTCCTAGCAATTTTCAGATTCAAAGTTAGGAATGATTCTGCCTGATGTCGTTGGTGGGTTGTACTCCTGCATTCTTCACATGGACCTAACAGGTAGTGGGAAAGAAATAGAAGCCGCAAGAGCATGCTGCTGAGTCATTAACAGAAATGATGACTTCTGGACTCAGACCCCAGTCTCCTCATGGTATTTCTGGCTCTTGGTTTGCCATATTCAGTTGATTGTTTGGGGATTCTTTTAGTGCTTTATGATGTGGGTCTGATGTTGAGAGCTGTGTTTAATTCTTCAGAACCTCATTTAAACCACCAGTGAAAACAATGGTATTTGCCGTGACATCTGGAGGAAGAATAAGTTAAAAGTGAAACAGAAGACCTAAGTGTAGGCACTGATGCCTCAAAGCACTGTCCAGATGGTTGTGATTTACTGGTCTACCCATCACCCCTGGGGTGTGTGTGTGTGTGTGTGTGTGTGTGTGTGTGTGTGTGTGTGTGTGAGACGCTGGTCCTTAGTCAACCTGGAAGGAATTTATAACGTGGAATCCAGCCAAGCGGTGAACAGCTTAACCCAAATGAACAGGCTACAATTAATGGGGGCATTTAGGAAAAGAGATTGTGTTACTGTGGCCATCAGTGTGGCGTACCTGCTACCCAAGGGTGTCACCGGTGAGAAAAATGAAACATCTTCAGAGATGAAAATTGCATTGTACCCTCATGAGCAGAAATTGAAGATTAAGTGACCCATGGATGTCCTTATCCTGAGACCACCTTTGATTCTCATCCCTTTTCATCTATTAGGAGAACTCCCTTTTGCAGATGGTTCCCTTGGATGAAGTTGGTACAAGTGAGAGACCCCTTCAGGTCCCCAAGGAGATCTGGCTTCTCGTAGATCACTTATTCAAATATGCCTGTCACCAGGTAAGTGATGGGAGACCTTCCCTGCAGCTTTGAAAGTGTGCAAGTACTATGGGAAATTAGAATACCTCACAGTGGCCGAGTGCTTTTAACATTCCCAAGCTACCACCACACCACATGGCTAGATCACCCAGCCAGGGTGAAGTGTCCCTGTTCCCAGATGGGACAACCGCAGCATGTGAGCCAACTGACTCACCTAAGAACACAGCTTCAGTGTAGTGGCAGGGCTGGGACTGAGAGTCCCTGGCCTTGTACTCTTTTCCCCCAGACAGCTTATGTACCTGACTCTGTCATTGCTATTTTAGCTGTCAAACAGGCTTTGTGGATCAGAAAGACCATTTCTTTCACTTGGTTCTCAACATTCTTTTCAGTCCTATCTGCAATACTAAACGCTGCAATTCTCCCCCGCCCCCCAAAGAAGAGAACTTTCTTAAGATCAAGTCAAGAGGTCATGTCCTCTTAATTACCAAAGAGGAGTAGCACTGGAAAGGGGGGGTTGGCACAAATGGGCCGTTTGCCCTTTCCTTCACCAGCACTCAGCAGTCCTTATGTTTGAATGTGATGGGGTATCTTTCCCTCAAGGGGTTCAAAGTGGAACACCTGCTTTCCCAGTCTAGCCATCTCCTCCCCTGCCTTATCTGTGACAGACAGATCATTTGTTTATTTGAAATACCATTTCGCCCAAATCATAGATGTGATACAGAGGGAAAGTGCTGCTTCCTCCCTTCCATATCTAATCATTAATACATGTACCACCTCCCCTATTGCTTCCTGTTTCTCTTGCCATTCCCCGGGGTCATCTTCAGAACCTTAGGGTCATTAGTGTGCCTTGTTCCCTTCATTCTGATCTCTTTGGTAGGAGGACCTGTTCCAGACCCCTGGGATGCAGGAGGAGTTACAGCAGATCATCGACTGCCTGGACACCAGCATTCCTGAGACAATTCGTATCCTTTCTGATCCAGGCTTAGGAAGCTGGCAGGTGCTTGGCTAAACTCTTCTTACCCGTGTACATTTGGTTTCTGTCTCCCTGTTTGTTTTCTTTGCAGTCATCTGTTACAATGTAGTTACTGACTATGCAGTTGTTTCTCAGTTCCCTTCAACAACTTTTGACTTTTCTGTCAAGATTTTATTAAAAGCAATGGAGGGGTAGGTAAAGACTTCATTGAACTACTAGTTTCTTACATGCATTTTCATTTCATTCGAAAGGCAGAGAAACAGCCAGACAGGAAAAGAGCTTTCATCCGCTGATTGACCCCCTAAATGCGCACAATGGCTGTGACTGGGCTAGCTAAAGTCAGGAGCTGGTAAGTCAGTCTGGGTCTCCCATGTGGTAGCAGGGACTCAAGTACTTGGACCATATCCTGTTGCTTCCCAGGGTATACATTAGCATGAAACCAGATCAGGAGCTGAAGAGCCAGGACTGTAACCAGGCACTCTGATGTGGGAGGTGGGCAGCCTGCATGGTGACTTTACCACTGTGCCGCAAGCCACACAACTTTAAACAGGCGTGGGACATGGGGCAGTTGATCCCTCTTGCCACCCAATGTCCTGTGTGTCACTAGGGCAGGGACAAGGATGGGAAACACTGGCAGCTAGCATATAGCACCATAACTCTGAATGCCATGTTCCTCTGGACTTTGCAGTTGGTCCAAACCTCCCAAGAATCATATTGTAATACAGCTCAGCTTCAGGGCATGTGAACCAACAAAATATCCAACCCTGATTAGAATCAACATGTCCTCTGGGAGCCTGAGCAGGGACGCCACTGGGTGGGTCTCCCTGTGGCCTTTTCTGGGAACCTCCTGCCCTTGACTCGAGGTGATTCAGCTGGTAGCAATCACTCGGTGGCTGAGGCGCTGCTCATTTTCCTGGAGGCCCTGCCTGAGCCAGTCATCTGTTACGAGCTCTATCAGCGCTGTCTTGACTCTGCCCACGATCCCCGGACCTCCCGACAGGTGAGTTGGGTTGGTCTAGGATGTGTTTGGGGCATGTTTCCCCAGACAGAAATGATCAATTTTACCAAACCAGATTGGTAGCCAACTGGGTGGTCAGATGGGTCTGGATCTGTTATTCGTGACAACGTGCCACTGTTAGCAGTTGAGACCCATACATTTTTAGGCTGTATTATTGCCTGTTGTATTAATCACCTTTTTCTAGTGGCCCTATTGCTGTTCACAGGAAAAAAAAAATTAGTGGGTATTTTTACTCCAGGACAAGATTGGTGACATTCAGTGTACACAGAATTTTGACTGACTTACATTATCAAGAAGGATGGTGAACACTTTTAGGAGTCTTAGTTCTGTTTTCCTTATTGATAAATGTTTTTAATCTTCAAGGGATTTTTGATACAGCATAGCTCAGACTACCTGTGATTCAGACCAGAGTATTGGGAGGAGGTCTTCTCCAGGCTGAGGAACGTTGTGGAGAAAAGCAGCTTATTAGGCATCATGGCTGCCTGTCTGAGAAAAAGGTAGATTAGCGCCTACCTCCTTATGAATGCCTGAACAGAAGATGACCATACATGTGGTGGCTGCATGACGTGGTCATTGAGTGCACAGGGACCGAACAATGTGACCACCTTTTCTTTAGTTATAACTTAGCAGGTATTGTGTTGGTCCCAAGTAAAAATGATAGAGAATATTGATGAAATGAATGGGGTTCCCTGTGGGCTGGCTTTTAAACCACTCTTAGGGTAGCTGTGAACTGTTCTTACCACCTTCCTCCACCTGTTTTCCTCACTGATTCACCCACTCTCCCTTTGGAACACAGGTGATTTCCCAGCTCCCAAGATGCCACAGAAATGTTTTCCGTTACTTGATGGCATTCCTTCGAGAACTCTTAAAATTCTCTGAATACAACAACGTCAGCGCCAACATGATCGGTAAGAGTGCCCCATAAGAACAGTGGCACAGGGGCACGGAGGTGTTTGTAGAGGACGAGCCTTGTGTGTTTCCCACAGTGGATGCCCTCCTGGGTATCCAGGTATTTCCTGCTTTCTGGCCTCCTGCGCAGGGCCTCCCAACCCTGCGGCCTCATGCAGTCTGTCTAACAGAGGGTTCCCCCTTTGCTTCCTCTAGCGACTCTGTTCACCAGCCTTCTCCTAAGGCCTCCACCAAACATTATGACAAGACAGACTCCAAGTGACCGCCAGCGAGCTATCCAGTTCATTCTGGGCTTTCTGCTTGGGAGTGAAGAAGACTAAGTTGTTTATTTTTTTCTTCTTTTTCTCTCTCTCTTACTACTCTTCAAGATTCTAGAGGTGGAAGATTGGCAGGCTCCAAGTTATTTCACAGATGGTTTTTTAAGGTCATGCTGCAGGAAGGGTTTATTGCAGAAGTTCAAGTTCTGTTTATAGTACAAAAAGGAAAAGAGTTTCCTAATCCCTTCTTTAGCATACTCTACACAGCAAAACACTTTTAGACTTACATTACCAAGCCAAAGTTACCACATTTTGGTGTTTTTATGTTTTCCTCTTTATAAGGCAAAGAGATCTGTATTAACACTCCTGTACCTAGGGTCGTGTTTGTTGCCTCTATCCAACTGTCATGCTTGTCCTTAGTATCCTATGCCTGGATTCTGAGATGCTCCCATTCCAGGCCCACAAGCACTACTTGGCATAGCTCAGACTTGTCTGTAGCCTGTACCAAGCGCTTTGGAGCCACCCCTTCCCTGTCTCACTCCCTGCCACTCCTCTCCACTTGTTCTGCCACTTTGAAGGGAGCCTGGGTGAGGCCAGCAACTCCTTGAGTGTCCTCCACAGTGAGTCTGCTGTCTACATGTGGTTGTTAACATCATTTGTGCATTTTCACTACTGTGATGGCGTCCGTGTGTCACTGTACTGTTGGCCTTTTCATGGATCCACACTGGATGGAACCTCATTCCCTGTCTCCAGGCACACGCAGTAACGTAATTTGAGGGACTATAAGAGATGACATCCTATCAATATGAGAGAAATCACAGAGTGAAAATACTTAGGGAATTTTAACAGTGAGAGTGTTCATGCCTGCTGGTTCCTGATTCCTGTTATCCCTTTCCTGTTGTTAGTAACATATTACATAACATCTGATCCTGGCTGTTTATGGGGCCCATCCACTCCCTTTGAAGCAACCTCCAGAGCAACATTTGCACCAGAAGTAAGAAATGGAAGCCCATGCACCTCAAGCTACTCTCCCACTGAGGGCACTGACGGTGACACTTAGACCCATTTCCCTGGTCTTCAGCCCTCTAAAGGGCTGACTGTGAACTTCATAAGCAACTCTTGACAATGAAGAATCTGGAGACTCCCTTGGCTCTCAGTCACTATATCCGGTGCCATGTAAGAGAGACTGGCCAGTGGGACCAACCACACGTCATACCTCTCTCACCCAAGGTGATTCTCTGAGCTTTTCATTTATTCAAGTTTCGTGGGACAGCCTTTTAAAACTAATAATAATAATAATATGTCATTTGACAAACCACCATCCATTGATTGCAGAAATGCCTGGTACACTTGACCTCCTCCTTAAAAGAACCCCCCAAGTGGACTCTTGCCTGTTACCATTAGATGTGAGCAACATAAGGTGCAGGCTCAGTGTACAATCTTGGGCACTGACTCCATGATAATTCTAGTACATGTGAGGAGAGAGCCAGGGGAAACTCCACCAGTGAATGGTTCTGTAATTGCCCCATCTCTTGAAAGCTGAGATCTCTTGGGGAAGAAAAGGTATGTATCATGTGTCCTGTGGTATCCAAGTTCCACCTTTTCCTGATTGGGAGTTAGGGAAAATGGAGTTTAAGTTTATTGATGCCAAATAGCTGATGATCTTGAAAGCTCAGGGGGTGGATGCTGAACTTCATTCGTGGAGGACTGAGAGGAGGATAGTCTTGTCATCTCTGCTGGGCCAGAAGGTGATCACAGAAAGAGATAGATGACAGGAACTGGGGCAAGGTTGTAATACCAGGAAGTACCCCTCCTGGGCTCATGCCAACCTGGGTCCTGGGGTGACCAAGGATGTGTTCAGTGGGGGCCCTGTGCTGCCTGCGTGCAGGCTCCTCTTTCTTCATTATGTCAGAGCACTAAGTTGGTTTACTGCCTTGACCTGTCTCCCAGCTTGTCCTGGGCTGTACATAGGGTTGAGAGTTTTAGACAATCTCTAGGTAGGAGAGACAAGACGTAGATTAGACACAAGAAGTTTGCTTCCCTACCACACTCCTTGCAGCACCCTAGCCTCTAATTCCTAAGTTCTCAGCTAATGATTCACAGTTTCTCTTAAGGAAGGATTTCGGATCCAACTGAGTGTGAAGGACTGTGCTCCTATTGGTTTAAGGAGTGAATGGTTCAAATCCATGGGGTGACATTGCATTAGTGTCTCTTTCACTATTTTATGATTCTTACTCTGTGATTGTTTAATTTCCTAATAACATCTAATAACATCTTGGTCACTAAGCAAGCTGCTAGTGGGGTTCTGTATTTTGTGGCATCTTTTTTATTATAATTTATTGCAATTTTCTGAATAAATATATGTTGTGTGAAAAAAAAATCAACGTGTGATGTTGGTGAGGAGGAGCTGTGGGAAGAACACTTACATCAGCTGGGCCTATATGCAGCCACCTGTTTTACGTGGAAATGTAAGAATTTCAGTTTATTCGTCATCCATGAGAAAAAGAAGCCATGTTTCCAGAGACCAATAAAGAAGTCACATACTTTCAGAGGCTAACTAAGCACCTGTACTTTAAACCCTAGGTTTCAGGCACCAATATGACTCTTAGTGGAAAGAGTGTTAATTGTTAAAGCATAGAAATATCCCGAAATACCAATTATATGCTCCTTGTCACCCCAGAAACCCAACAAACCCTAACTCGTGTATATACTTAGAACTTATTCCATGCTAATGTAGTCTCTATTCTACAATTTAGAGAGCCTGCTTTCATATGCATTTTATAAATTTGGAAAAGCACATTTGAACTTGAATTGCCTGTTGGAGTGATGAAGTTCATAAATTTAGTGCTTGTTCTTTGGCGAGGGGAGATACCTCATCAAAACTCTTCAGCCCCAACAGGGCACTACTGACCTAAGTGGGGCAGCATTGTCCCCTGCAAGTGTCCCTTAGGAAACTGTAGGTTCTCTGTTCCCTGAGACACACTTAGCCTCCACTAGAGGTTTCTTCACAACCAGGGTCCTTTTCCGGTTCCCATCAGCTGTGTGAACTTGACCCAAATGAATGTGCTGACTCAGTGCTGTCATATGCAGTTCTTCAGCCCCACCCAAAGCCCTGGCAGAGGCATTTTCTTTGCCAGAGACTTTTTCTCCTCCCAGCAGATGGAGACTTTCACCCAGCAGTTTTTGCACAGGGGAAGGTGATGTGACCATCCTTTGTAGAGGTTAGCAAGCAATTTCCATTCCCAGCTGCCAGAACACCTGCTGGGGCCTGGCTGCTCCCTGTGTGGACCTGCAATTCTGCTGGCTTTCCTCTTTTACGATGACCTTATCCAAGGGTTTCATGTCTCATTTGATGTCAATGACCTTATCACATGGTAAGGTCAGCCTGGAGCTCAGGCCTGTTCAGCTGCCCTCTTTCCTCCTCCACACTGTACCACTATCCCCTATTCTGCATTTCAGGGTTTTTCCATACACCTTCCTGGGAGTGGGGGGGGGATGTAAGATAATGCATGGCAAGCTGCGCCCACCAACATGTGGCATGACTACCCTGCCCATGCCATCTCTGCCAATCTCCTGTTACTCCTTCCTATGGAGTTTTTTCTTTTCCTGGGCACCCAGGCTCTTTTAGTCCTTATCACTTGCCTCATGGAAAATTTCTCTCCAGCTTTGATCTTTGCTACCTTGCATCTGCTCTAATCCTCACCTGGATTGATTTTTACCCAGCCACTGCTACCTCCTTCTCTGCCTCTCTCCTGTGGAAACTGTTCCCACTCCTCCAGCTCTTGGGAAAATAAGGCACTTGCTCATTGCCTCATTATGCTTTCATCTGTCCTCAGTTCAGGTAAGTGGTTCTCAATTATCCACAACTAGTTACAGTCTTTCAGGACCATGGAGCTCAAAGTGTGGTCCCTAAGCTTGCAGCATCGGCATTGCCTGGAGACTGGTCTGAATCAATGGAATCAACTGGGCTGCTTAGAAAGTGCCACTGCTGAGGCCTCACCATGCCTTCAACCACTGAGGTGAGATTATTATAAAGTCCTACACATCAGAATGGTTATAAAGCTCCTTAGCCCAGCGGTCCTGAGTGACTCATGTCTCATCAGTCATCCAGAAGACTTGCCTTCTTGACCACCTCTAGAGTTTGGGTGTCAGCAAGTCTTGGAAGAATGGTGTTGTGGTCCACTTTGTGTTGCTCCGACAGCTTATAGATATGGCCATTTGAGAGGAATACAGGTTTGTGTAGGTCAAAATTCTGGAGGCTGCAAGGCCAGTGTGGGGGCAGCCGCACATTCTTGGAGTTAGCAAAGCCATCCAGCTAAATTCATGCATGGCAAGTAAAGTGGGAGCAAGTAGAGAGAGAGGCAAGATGCCAAAGATCATCTTGTTGTGTGCCAGCCTGCTCTCTTGGGAGACTAATCCAGTCCTGTGAGTGTGAGAGTTGGCTCCTAGGAAACAGCAGGAGTCTATCTGTGACCCCCATTGTCCAGATTTCTCCCATCGGGCCCCAACTCTCAACACTGCATGAGTTTTGGTGGGGACAAGTCATGAAAACAGTAGCAAAAAAACTGGTGAGAATTTGTTTTCCCAAGTGCGACTGTACTGGTTTTGACCCCTTCAGCACAATGATGTCATTCCCGAGGTCCCCGTTGTCCTCCTGACCTCACCCTCTGTGGTCATTCTGAAGGAACTGAAGCACCTGCCCCCAGCATGGCAGCTGTAGGCCCGGGCCTCTTCCCTCTGTAGCCCCAGTCAGCCATCCTGCTCCCTCATGCCCAGCACACCTCCCCTCTCCTCTTTACCTTGACCTCCACTGCTTCAGTTGTACTCTGCTTGCCAATTCATTCCTTTCTTGGCATCTCCTCAATTTCCATGGTTTTCAATACAAGGAGATTTCAGAAAGCTCATGGGCAAAAAATGGAATTAAAAAGCTTGTTTGGCTGCAAAAACGTGTTTGAAACCCACCCATAGCTCTCCTGAGAACTAGGTAAGTCTCTTCCAGGAGCAGCATCGCAAAGAACCCTGATTTACTATCCACCATTTCTTAAAGCTTCCACCAGTTCAACAATGCCACACCAGTGCCTGAACTCTTGAGAAACACACTCAAGCCATAGCAACCCACATCTTCAAAATAATAAAGTCCCCCTTTTTTACAGGGTTAGCATGGAGATACATTAATAAAGGGTTCAGAACAGTACCTAGTGTGTAAATGCTAAAGAAATAACAGCTTAAATGATTCCCAAACTCCTCCGTTGGCCCTGGGACCCACACACCTCTATTTCTGTCCTTCAACTAACAGCAGATAGCTGCATGCTTTACCTTGTGAGGATGCCAAGGCTGCCCAGCAGAAGCAGCCCTCTCAAGGCCCCGCATTACACATCAGAATGCCTTTAGTTTCACCTCCCTCCTCCCCCTTCTTCCCCAGCTCTGAAAGAAGTGGCTTCTTCCTTTCCAAGGCCAACTTTTCCAGCTGCATGCTTCTGAGCCCTTCTCCCACTCTCGCCAGACTTCTCGCATCAACCATCATCCCCCCTCTTATCAGCCATTCATTTGACAAGTATGTATTGAGTGCCTCCTACATGCCTCATGTAGTTCAAGGTGCCGAAGCTATTGAAATAAACAAGGTGAGGTGACTCAGTGTTTTTGATACAAGAGTGAGGGGGGAATGGTCATAGACAACCAAGCAAACAATACACAAAGTAACCTTTACCTCATAACATGTCCTATGAGAATCAACTATGATAATGTGCTAGAAGATTTCATCAGTGGAATTTGGTCAGGGAAGGTGGCTTTGAGACAGTGATATTTGAGCTAAGACCTCACTGGCAACAAGCCAGGAGATAATAGTTACCCAGAATATACTTAAAAGATATGTAAGATCTGGCAAAGAACATATCACGTTTAAGGGACAGCCAGGCAGAACACAGTAAAGGGGTGGTGGGGGATGGATGGACAGGGACCAGAATCCTATCCAGGCTGAGGAACCGGGGAAGGAGGTGGCATTTTATTGACCTTCTATCAGAAAGCCATGGATGACTTGACTCAGGAGTGATGTAAGCTGAGCAGTTCCTTCTTTTAACTTTAGGGTGTTAATAACTAAACTCTATCATTGTGTCTCAGATGTACAAATAACATCAACTTTAGCCTTGACAACCTTTAAAAAAAAGATTTACCTTTATTTTATTGGAAAGGTAGATTTACAGAGAACATACAGAGAAACATCTTCCATCCACTGATTCACTTCCTAAATGGTCACAGTCGTCAGAGCTGAGCTGATTCGAAACCAGGAGCCTCCTCCGGGTATCCCATGTGGGTGGGGGTCCCAAGGCTTTGGGTCATTCTCTGCTGCTTTCCCAAGCCAAAAGCAGGGAGCTGGATGGGAGGTGGAATAGCTGGTACATGAACCAGCACTCATATGGGATGTTGGTGCTGCAAGGTGGCAGATTGCAGTTGAGCTATCATGCCAGCCCCCACAACAACATTCTAAAACAGCTGCTTGAGTTTTGTAGACAAGGAAACACAGACACTAAATAACTTGGTACTGGGCTAGTGACCTACTGCAATAGGACATCAGAACCCAAATTGTGATCTTAAATACAGCCACTGTATTCCTCAGGTGAGGTTGGGGCGGGGGGCGGGGGGGAGGTAGGGCCACTCCTCAGAATCCCCATGCTTTCTAGTTACACCCCAAAGTGACCATCAGCTGAGGAATGGGCCAGCAGTTCTTATTCAACTTATCTTCAGCCTTGACTGGCTTGTCTCCCACCACCCAGGCTTATTTTTGGCCTCATGCACCGCTTCTAATTAGTTCCCAAATAGAATTCAACAAATACTAAGCATCTGCTAAATGTAGCCTTATTATGCAAGGTCCTGGCGAAACCAAAATGGAGAAGGCTGGACATTACACAATGAGACATACATAATATTAGTTTTGTCCGTGTATTTATTACATAAGAGACATTGAAATGCAGATCTTCCATCTGCTCCTTCACTACCCAAATGACCAGCCCAAACCAGGAACCTAGAGCTCAATCCAGCTCTCTCATGGGAGAGGCAGGGATGCAAGTGCTTCAGTCATCATCCTCACCTCACAGGCTATGGCTTAACAGAAAGCTGGACCAGAAGTGGAGCTGTGGGGCCTGCATTGTAACATAATGGCTTAAGCTGCCATATAAGATGCCTGTATCCCATATGGATGCCGGTTTCAGTCCCAGCTGTTCCATTTCCAATCTGGCTGCCTGCTAATGCCCTGGGAAAATAACAAAGAATGGCCCAAGTGCTTGGGCCCCTGCACCCAAGTGGGAGACCTGGAGGAAGTTCCTGGTTCCTCCTTCAGTCTTGCCCAGCCCCTAGGCAATTAGTGAGGGTGGG